AGTTCGAATCTCACCTTTGTCACTTTTTTTGTTTTTTATTATTTTTACTCTAAATTTTTCTATCTTTCATTAAAAAATAACAAAAATAGTTTTTTATTATTATTTAATTATTATTTTCGTATTTTAATTAAATCATTTTTTAAAATATTATTTTTTCCACTTTTTTCTAAATTATTCATAAAAATATCCAAAAAATCATAAAATAAAAAATATTGAAAAATTTTTTGTTCTTTTTATAATATTTTTTATTTTAGGAATCAATAGGATTATTAGTTTTTATTTTAAATTATTTAAATTTTATTTTTTTTAACTAATTATTTAGTTTGGGCTTTAAAATGGGCTTTAGGGACATTATTGACAATTTGGTGTTAACCCTAATTTGTTCCCTATATATACATGTGTTGCTTTGTTGAAAAAGGGGGAGAATGGAAAAAAAACCTAAGAGGAGTGAGTGCCGTTTACCGTTATTTCTATTTCTTCATCTATTACTGTTATTTCTTTTCCTTGTTATTTCTTTTCCTTCATCTATTACTGTTATTTCTTTTCCTTCATCTATTACTGTTGTTTCTTTTTCTTCATCTTTTACCGTTATTTCTTTTTCTTCATCTATTACCGTTATTTCTTTTTCTTCATCTATTACTGTTACGTTTATATATATAATTTTTAAATTGTTAGAGTTTATATATATATATATATATATAAGATTAATTTTTGATCGAATTATGTCGATACGATGTTTGCACATTTGTGTGCATGACGCGTGACATTTGTGTTAGTTCGATCTGGTTGCGATGATCGCATTTTTGTGTGAGCAATAATACTGTTTTTTGCTTAATTTCTTTTTCTTTGCGATAAATTTTGTTTCGTCCGATTTAGATCTGGCTGCGATGAGCGCATTTCTGCGTTAGCAACATTGTTGGGTTATTTGACACATTTAGAATTCATTATTGCTTTATTATTATTATTATTAGTAGTAGTAGTAGTAGTATTATTATTATCATTATTTATTATTATTATCATTATTATTATTATTACCATTATTATTATTATTGTTATCATTAATTTATTAAAACTTGTTATAATATAAAAATCTGTTTTTTAAAATAAATAACATTAACATCTTTTCCAAATTAATATGAAAACCTATTATTTTTAAGAAAAACTTTTTTTTAGATAAATTTAAAATAATAACTAAAATCTTTTTTTTTTAAAATAATAACTAGAACCGTTATTTATTTTATTTTATTATTGTTCAATTCAAATTTCATTATCATATTGTATCTGCTCCTCTCATGTAACCTCACGAACTTAACAATCGCTCTTTAAATTCTGCCTTTAAATTTCTGCTTGCATGGTTTAAATTATGACATTATCTCTCTGTTTGCATGATTCAATTATCTCACGCGTTTACCATTATTTCTGTCACATTGCACACATCCGAAGGTTAGGTCTAACTGTTTGGCCGCCGCGCCAATAGTCCGTAAAACTTCACACATTCAATTTCAAATCCTCAAAACTACAAACTACAAACCCTAATTTTCACAAATGCCTCGCCGCAGGCCAAATTACAATTTTACCCCTAGCATTAGGTCAAAGAGCCGCCGCGCTCATTTTAGGGTTTCCCGCCGCGGAATCCCTAACCTAACCCTAATTCACATAACAATTTACAACGTAGATATTGGAGTTTCTACACTCCGCGTAAGCGTGTCCCTAAGATACGTTTATTCCCCATTGAAACCTTGGCCACAGTCAAGACGTTTCTAACCTCCCTTTTGAGGGGAACTACGATTACTCTGATTCCATTCCCGTAAGGATACGTAGGCACAAGATGCGACGTCTTGCCGAGTAAACTTAGAATTAACCCCTTAGGTATTTTAAACCCTTAATCCTTTGTACATACCCTTAAAGCAAAAAATGAAACAAATAAAAAAATAAACAAAAGGTTCCCGTAGAGTACTACGGAAGTTTAGGGTGCTAATACCTTCCCTAAATTTAACCAACCCCCGAACCTTAGATCTCTCCCTTTTAGGTTTTTGCTTTCTTTAACCTTTCCTTCGGATAAATCAAAGACCGGTTGTAAATGAATTAAGATTCAAGTTAATCAATAGCTTGACATCCAAATTTCACCGCAACAGGAAGCTTGGTAAATAATGTCCATATCAATTTTCATTCTTTTAGATGATAATAAATTGCAAGTGTTAGAATCGATTCGTCTCTATATTCACTGAAGTTGTGGTCGAAGCTCGAGATGCATCTCCAAAAACAATTTAGAGCAAATCCAAAGATGCATCTCTAGACTAACCTGCGATGGTCTTCCATGGCAACAACTAATTTTCTACCCTAACAGTTCCAAAAAAACTCAATGCATATTGCTCTAGCCTACTGATTTCGTTTATAGTACTACCCAATGTCCCTAAAACATATAATGTATCCTAAACAAATTACTAAAAAAAATTGATTCTTTTAAAACTTACCAAATCAATTTGATAAGAAGTTGAAGATTGAATGTTTAAGATGTTGGAAAAGAAAATAAATAACTCCAATGATATAAGTTTGAATGAATGGATGAGAAGTACAATCGTTGCAGCGTTTAAATGGTTTTTTTTAGAACTTTTGAGAAAATGAAGTAGGAAGAGGGAAAAGTACGACACGAGATATAAAAGAATATAAACACATTTTTGAATAAACGGTGTTTACAAATATGCATATTCGAACACATTTTTTACACATACAGAGATGCATCTACAGATTAAATTTTAACGTAAAAGGGGTATCTTTTCAATTTAACATGAGAAATGGCTAAAAAAAGATGCGTCTAGAGATGTATCTCTGGACACCAGGGACATTATGAACTTTTCACGGTGGTGCGGGAGCACCCATAAAAGTGGAAAAAGCATTTCCCAATCTTATTTACCGCCATAAGATGGAAGTTTGATAAATAATGCCTATATCAATTTTCATTCTTTTAGATGATAATAAATTGCATGTGTTAGAATCAATTCTCTCTATATTCACTGAAGTTGTGGTCAAAGCTCGAGAACTTATGTTTGATGTGTTTCAAACCAACACAAATTTTGCTTAAAAGTGTCATGATAACTTGCTTAAGACTTTATTTGGGAGTTTGGAGGGGAGGGGAAAAGAGGGTTTCGAAAAGTATAGAGAAAATGATTTTTGAAAAATAGACTTTGTTTAAAATGATAAAATAATGCTTATCGTTAATATATTTTTAATTTTTGAAATTACATAACAACAAAAGTTATATTTGAACAATTTCTTTAAACCCTTCAAAATCTCCAAAACTCTCTTTCAATATAAATTTTGAGTTCTCTCAAATTAGGATGTTTTTGGTGTTACAAATAAATACAAATCCTCAAAAAGTCTCCGAATCAAAATTCTTCTATTCTTTTCACTCAATCCTTCCACTTTTTTAAAGCCCTCCATCGCTTCCCTCCAAACTCCCAAACAAAACTTAAAAGTGCCATGCTAACTTGCTGAAAATCTTTTAAAGGCTTAAATGTACTTTTGATATCCTATTTAGGTGATTTTAATTTTTTTGTTTATCATTTTAAAACTCAATTTTTTTGATCCCTATACTTTACTTTCTTTGAGATGTTTTTGGTTTCTTTGGACTATTTGCACATGCGACATTCTTAATTTTTACATGGCAGTCTAATAATGGCACACAATGTCAGATTTTTTTAAAATTGATATCATTTACTTTCTTAATTATAACCTATTTATTTATTACAAAATTAAAAAATAAATATTAAAAATAATTTTTTACTTGATATTTAAATAAATGAAAAGTCTACTTTGCCATTCATGCATAGTTATTGAATAGCCTTCATTTCCACTTAGTTTTCATACATGAACCCTAATCCCATTTTCTCACTTCTCCTTCAATTGAACCAAACAAAGCATAATTCTTAGTTGTTCACTCAACGAATCAGAATCGAAATCAAACACTATCAAGTTGTTCTCCTAATCAAGCTGAAACCACACACCCCACTTTTGGGGATTTAACTTGCTTGTTTACTGTGAAGACGGCGAAAGAAAGTTCTCAATGGATAGCAATGAACAAGCAAAGTACTTGTAAGATATGTTTTTCTCCCTTTTGCAAAGCCACCATGATCCCCCTTGTTTTCTTGTTTATTTCGTTTGTTGTGGTCCACCATCGTTTTTTAATCTTAACTTGTGGTTTTGTTGTCTGCTTATATGTTGTGGTCCCATTGCATGATTATTTATTCAAGTTATATTTCAATTAATTCTCCGGCCATATATGAGTCATAAAGATTAAGTTAAGGATACACTATAAGGGAAGATTAGTTGAGGAACCTGTAAAATGGCATGTTGAAGGGGAAGTATCTGAGATGAATTGGAGTTGGGATGTGGGTTACATGTCATACATGGACTTGGAGAGTTTAGTTAAATTTAAGGGTTATAAGGACATAAGGTGTATGTGGTATTGGAACCCAAAGTATAGTTTTTCTCGCGGTCTTAGACCCTTGAATACTGATAATAATGTTATGCAATTTCGCAAATATGTGATAGAGTTTGAGGTAATAGATGTATATGTTGAGCATAATGTAGACAAAGTTAAAATAATGGATCCTAGTTAGCTAGGTGCCAAATTTGTTGATGATGATAATGTACAATGCACTAGTGTTAGAAATGCGAATTCTACAGCTGATGAAGAAATGAGTATTCATAATGTTGATGCCAATACTGAAAATGTTGAAGAATATGGAAGTCTTAATGTTGGTGGAAATAGTGAGCATGTTGAAGAACATGAAAGTCCTAATGTTGGTGGGAATAATGAGCCTGTTCAAGAATATGAAAGTCCTAATGTTGGTGGAAATAATGAGCTTATTGAAGAACATGAAAGTCCCACGGTTGGTGGCAATACTGAGTCTATTGAAGAATGAATTGATGAGGGTTATGTTGCAGGTGATAATAGTTTTGAGGATAATGAATTTCAATGTACTAAATATTCTGAGGAGATGGAATGGACTAAGGTACTACTCCTTGATACCCTAGGTAAGGTTTGTAGTGGCAACAAAGAGAAAGAAGTAGTTAGTATTGATCAAGAAGAATATGAATACTCTGACCATTTGTATACTCCTCCTGAGAGTGATGATGATGAAAAAGGAGTGAAGATTTTAACCATTTGTATACCCTCCAACAAGATTTATAAGGATTCAATCAAAGATCATATGCTTTTATTTCTGACAAATAGAAGGTATTTTCTTGATTACATCTATCCATGTCTTTAATTTATTTTGATTACATCAAATTATATCTTGATTACATATATGTATGTCTGTCATTTATTTTGACTAGGAATGGTACCTGCAGTTTAAGGTCTTAGTGCCCATGTGGAAATGAGATCGTGCGTAAAGCATTTATATGGCAATTGGAAGAAGAAACATCTTGGGATAGAGTTAAAAAAGGTCATGTGGACAGCTGCAAGTGTAACTACAATACCAACATGAGACAGAACAATGCAAATGATGAATGCCTTAAAAGAAAATGAATGGAAGGATAGATAAAGATCCCTACAACATTTTGGAGCAGATCACACTCCAATACCTATACAAAGTGTGACCTGCAGGTAAAGAACATGTGTGATACCTTTAATAAGGAAATACTGGAGCATGTGAATAAGCCTATAATTACTCTATTGGAGGGAATAAAACATTATATAACAAAGAGGATAACTATCCAACAGGACTTGTTGCATAGGTACAATGGAGAAAAATGTCCTAACATCCAACTGGTCATTGAGAAGAATAAAAAACAGGTATATGGGTGGACTCCAATATGACACGGCGATGATGATCTTGCAATCTTTAGAGTAACCAATGGCATTAAGACATATTGTCTTGATATGAAAAAGGAAATATGCTCATGTAGAAAGTAGGACTTGTATGGGATACCTTGCTGTCATGTTATCACATGTATATGGAACATCAAGAAAAAACCTGAGGATTATGTGGTTGAGTACTATAGGTGTGATCCTATTTTAGTCTAAGTAATATTTAATGAATCTATCTTGGTGTGAGTATTTATTTATGACCTTTTCTTGCAAGATATCAACATTTGAGAAGACTTAATCAAACATCGTCTTTCTAAAAAATGGACCACAACTGTGGCCAATGGTTGATCAAGTACCAATTTATCCCAATGCAAAGAGACAAATAATTGGTCGACCAAAAATGATGAGAAGCAAGATGTAACACCCTTATAAACCCCGCAGAATATATATAAATAATTAGAGTAATTATCATGCATCTCACAAAAGGGTGTCACATATAATTTTAAAACATCACACAATCACCTGTCATGCTCAATAACACTTAAAATAAATTCATGTTTTTCATACACTTTCACATTAGCATGTAGTAGCGGATTTACTTTAATCATAATAGACATAGTGAAAGTCTCATGCTCATCTCATTCATAATCAATACTTAGGTTTAAAAGCCAATACTTCATATAATTCAAAATAGCAATAACAAAATGAAGTAGAGTACATAAAGTATCTCTCAAAATATAAAATCGAAATATTCCCCAGTGTTACATAATCAGAGCATGACTCAACCCAAAAGAAATAAAGACACAAATCAAGCTACTTTAATAACTACCTCGCGCTAGAAGCAACTCTACTCCTCGGTACCTGAGCGATGTCGTATAAAATATTATTCCAACAGAAGGGTGAAAATTCACATAATTATTGAAATTATAAGATAATAATTAATCTAAGGCATACAAGCATAATTCAATTATTATCACACTTCAAAGTTTCATCAACAAGTATCACTCAAGTAACCATACCATTCACAAGTATATACACACAACCCACAATTTCACCAACTTCAACAATTCACATAGATACACATAATCTCGTAACACAAACATATACACAATGAGACTCAATGCAAAACTCAATGCAAGACCCAATGCAACTTATGCCATGTGGTAGCAAACACTTGTTACTATTTTTCGGTTTTTACATTAAACTGGTTCCGTTTCCTAGACCAATACCACACAAAAAACTCATTCCCTAAGCTTTCAAACCCCGCTCTAGGTTTAGGACAAGTCACTAGCTCCTAGGGAACTAACAAGCATTGCCTCTTGACACAAATGATACATGTGCAAGTTCACAACCATATGCAATTAAGACCATTCCCTAATCTTAATATTCATGCATATCTTTAATAATTCATCACACTTGAATTACCATACAATTACATAATTCATACACATAAGTATTTGAGAAATTATCCATAATAATTTCACAACCGACAGCAAATAATGCAACAATTCATTAATCAAACATATATACAATTGACTTCCCAAACATATTAGATATAAAAATATTGGACAACCAATTATATCATTTATACTATGTTACAGCTCTATTCATTTCCAATGCTTCAAAACAAAATATTTACCAATACACAGCCTTGCGTCGACCGCTAGTGACGGACCAATCGATGCAAACAATGCATAATCAAATCTAGAAAAACGCATTCAGTATACGTCAACCGTTGCGATGTATGCATCGACGCAAACATCGCAGAATGCAGAATTTTCTGCGTTTTTCACCGTTGTAGACTTTCTGGACCTCCGATTTCAATTTCGTAAAAAGCCCTAGTTCTATAATTTGAAATATTACCATTATATGACAATTATAACAGCCCACAACACATATTTAAGGATCCTATCATCATATATCACGCAATCATTAATTTCAAAACCATGGAAATTATAAATTTTTATCTTAAATATGATACTACCCATCATACACTATGATACAATCCCAATAATCAGTAAAAACCCACCCTTACCTTGATTTTTGGATGATTCTTGAGTCCTCTCTCTTGGTTCTTCTTCTTCTCCACCCTTCCTTCTCTCTGGCCTATTTCTTTCTCTTTACTAACTTTTTCTCTCTTTCTATTCTTTTGTTAAACCCTAACATTGTCCTAATCAATTGGGCTTAACTCAACTCACTCTCACTTACTATTCACACACCTAATTAAGCCCAACTAAATAATCTAACAATTCTACATTATTCTACCAAATAGAATAAATCAATTAATTTAATTAATTCTATAAACAACATATTTAGATTAAATCAATTAACTCATATAAATTAAATAAGTCAATTAATTTATATAAACCCAATCATTCATATAAATCAAAGAATCCATACAAATTCAATAAATCAAATAATTCAAATAAGTCGAATAAATTAGTTAATTCAATTAGGTACAAAATCACACAATTAATCAATTAATTTAATTAAATAAATAATTACTAAAATTGGGGTGTTACACAAGACATGTGATGAACCAAAGAATCATCATATACTCTCAAGGAGACCCTCAACAGTTAGTTATAAAAAATATGGTGAATTTGGTCATAACAATAACAGTTGTAAAAGGAAGAGAGCAGCTAACAAGGCAATGCATAAGGGATGTAACAAGAAGGCAAAGACAACTAAGGGTGAAATAGGAAAGAAAACAACTAATGAAAACCATTCAGAAATTTTACAAGGATCTCAAACACCTCAAACTACTCAACCCACTGAAGATTAGATGAATTAAGTAATTTAGGCCCTTTTTTGTGTTTAATGAATTAAGATATTTTGGTATGCTATAATGACGATCTTTCAGGATAAACATTTTTTGGTATGCTTTAATGAACATATTTTTGTATGGTGTAATGAACATTTTATAATACGGTTCTAGAGATATATCTCAAGAATTAAAGTGTCAGTTGATGAATGATCCATATTGACCTATGCCTTCAAGAATTAAAGTGTCACAAATACACATCTCCTACCTTACAGATATCAAAGACGAAATTCACCATCTCTTACCTTAAAGAGACAATCGAAAGATTGTGAAGTTCGAATACAATTTACCGTCGGTTGACAACGCAAGGAAGATTGAATTCAGTAAACTTGAGCTCAATACGCAAATAGATGTTAGGACTATGTGGAATACATATTTCCATTTCGAAACAAAAGTTCCGCTCGAGTTGGAAGCGACACTACAAAGAACGGTCGAAAATATTCCGAAGATGTGCAAGCGTCCATCGAGATATTGAAGTGTAATATTGCATTTTATGTTGAAAATCATGACTGTAATGCTTATTTTATGTTATAAATGTCAATTTCATTTTGGAAAATTACTTTTCTATTGAATCTGATATTGGTTTGTCTCCAAAAATGTAACTATAAAATTATTCCAGAGATATATCTCTGGAATAAAGTAAACCAAAAAAGGAAGTAACTCATAATGATCTTTGTTGAATGTGTATTGGGATGCGTTCGAAAATACATTTTCAAAAACAGAATACATTTTTGAAAACTTACATGATGTTGTAGAAACACTTAGAGTGCCATAAGGAATTCTCTTTTAATTGGGGTCAAAATATAAAATCCTTTAATTATTTATTTAAATCATAAGAAATTCTCTTTTAATTGGGGTTAAAATATAAAATCATTTAATTATTTATTAAAATCAAATTAAGTATGTGGTGTTAATTGTCCCCATTTTATGATATGTAAATTCGTCCCTGCTCTAGGTGGAGTGGAATATTTAGGTAGAGGAGTTCTCTTGATAAATTCATGTTTGTGTATATGAAAGTGAACTCGTTTTCTATGGTATCTTAGATATGTATTTATAGAGCATTCACTAAATTGGATTAGATGTGTATGACCATTACAAATTTTATTTTTGAGAGTAAACCTTAAGAAAAAGTTGATTGCGAGTCTATTGACATATTTGTTGATGTATTGCTTTATAAAAATGTTTTATAGAAACACTTAACGCTACTCTTAAAATCCTTTTATTCAATTCAAGCAGATGATTTTTGAAACATTTTCTAAGCATGTGTTAAAGTATAAATTGTGTGTAATGAATTGAAAAAACTCATTAAATTCTACATTGGACCATTTTTATATCTTTAAGTGTTTATATTTCGAAGATAGTTTTCTAGGAAACACCCTGAGAAATATAGAACTTTTCAAACATATGGAACGATTATAATAATTAGAATTAATACAACTTATATTTTCTATTATATGGACGACTTTTGCTTTACCTCTGTAAAAAAATCAATTCTAATCTTCCCATTTAGAAATTATGTTCTTTTAAGACTTTTGAAAATCTAACTAAAAAAATTACGTGACACGTTGACTGAGTTTTTTTTAATGAATTTTATTTAAGTGTGAGTTAAGCTAACATGACATTAAAAAAATTATTAAAATTTAAAGAATGAATAGACAAAACAATATTTTGCCATTAAAAAGATTTGAAACCGTTATCGAATAGTGGATGGGTATTTGCCTTTACCCAA